ACTAAAACACTAGTGACCGGAGGTTTGTAATAGTATATATATATATATAGTGCTCAAAAATATTGAATGTCATGTCTTACTAAGTGTAATTCACCTTTTGGGAAAATTTTGGGTGGGGAAATCTAATAAATAATATTGATGTGATGATAATATAATAATACATCAAAGTATACAAAGAATAAACAGCACATCTTGACATGGCTCAGTGTTTTACTGCAAAGTACATAATCAAATATTCATTTGAAGGATCTGATGAAGTAGCTGTCAGCAAACAAAATATAAATGTTGAAGATGATGAAAACAACAATTGTTTTGAAAGTAACATATCAAATAGTTCAGATCCCAAATATAAGCCAGATGCTGAATGCACTGAGGCAGCTGCTCAAAACGAATCCTTCCAAATTATAACAGATACAAACAGATAATGAAATATGCTTTATTTTATTTTATAATTGATATTAAAATATCAGGAGAGTTTCACACTATTGGTATACTATACTAACTAGATCGATGTTAGTTAGATATACATTCTGCGTCGCTAGACTCAAATATGTAATAATGATTGACGAAACATTCATGCATTTAAGGGTAAAAAGAGCATGCCAATGCTGCTGTCAACGGAGTTATTATATTAGATATTCATGCAAATGCAATGTGATTGCAGTTTAATCTTGTCTTCTGCAAACTTTTCAAAACCATATATAAGATTAAATATGATGACAAAGCTGACATAACTGTAATGAAACTCTAACAGCTGATAAAAATCCAACACCATTATAGACTCAGAGATGTTTATTACCAGAGACTAAACATTTCAACGGCAGAACAGCATGATGATACTGAGCGCAATTAAAAAGAGATTCACTCATGAATTTATTTATGAAACCCCATCAAATTCTGGCTGCTTTCAAATCTTTGTTGAGTTTGTTTGAACACACGATGCTTGAAGCCTGTTTTAAAGCTGTGTGCTAGTCAGTTGAGTTTTAATTAGCTGGCTCTATTGCCACTTGGCCATCGCATGGTCTCAACTTTTGCATACTGATGGCGCTAGCTAGAAAAACAGTGACAACCGTGTTAATTATTCGTTATCACACAAAACTGACAAATGGTTATTTGAATTTTGACCGAGATTCATCATACAGTACAAGAGACAGAAAAGCACAAAACACACAGAGAGAAAAACAACTGTACAAACTAGGGCTGGTAAATTAACGCGTTAATTAGATTAATTAATTACGGTGAAAAATAACACGTTAAAATTATTAACGCATTTAACGCACTTGCCCCACCCCAGACCTATGTGGGTCATCTGACATTTCATACAGTTGATTGAAGACAAATATGAGGCAGGGCAACAACTCACTGTGTGATGGAGCCTAGAGAACGTAGTTAGAATGTCCCTAAAATTCAAGATATGGGGCAAAAATGCTCCTGTTTTAAGTTTCTGTCTCATATTTACATCATATAGTTAAGCAATATCACATGAGCAATAGGCTAAAAGTGCAATATCACACGAGTGCAAATGTGATACTAATGAGGGGCAGCGCCAGAGAATTTTAAACGCAGGTGCTGAGGGGGTGCTAGATCATTGACAGGGGGAGCTGGGCAATTAATAGTAAATATGACCAAAATATTATGTTATTATTATTATTATTAATCTGAATAATAAAATAAATTGCAAACTCGATTTTGTAACATTTTATTAAATGATTATTTGTCTCATCTTACAATTTTTCGTTTTATGAAATTAAACAATTAGCCTACATAGAGGAGCACCGCGAGTTCCCTTTCATGGGAACTTCGAACTGCGTCCTCTAGGGGTCGCTATGGGGAACGCCTCGTCGTGACCCGTGTCTGAAGCATACATTGAA